CTGTGCCTAATCCCGTGGCCTTTTGCCCCCTCCCAGTTCCTCCAAGTCCACCCCAGTCTCTCCCAGTGCCCCCCACTCCATCCTAGTCTCTCCCAGTGCTCCACAACGTCTCCACCCCACTGGTGCCACCCAGCTCCCACCCTTCAGTCAATCAGAGTATGTCTCCTCGATGACTCCTCAGTTGCCAGGCGGACCCGCAGGGCAGAGTTCTCTCTCCAGGACTCAGCCTCCCAGTCCCGCTCGGGTCCTTCCCAGTCCATCCCAGTCCTTCTAGTCATTCCCAGTCCTTCCCAGACCCTCTCACTCCGCTCCCAGACCCTCTCAGTCCATTCCCAGTCGTTCTCAGTTCAATCTCACATCTCCCAACTCTCTCCCCAGTGCCCCCCCCCAGCCCATTCCCTTCTACCCAAGTTTATTCTCAGTCCCTCCCACTGCCATCCCAGTCCCTTCCAGTGTCATCCAAACGCCTACCAATGCGCTACAAACCCTCTCCCTTCTCTGCCAGTGCTCCCCAGCTCATCCCAGTGTCTCCCCCGTCTCTCCCAGTGTCCCCCAGCGTGTCCATCTCGCTGGTGCCGTCGAGCTCCCAGTCCAGCCCCAGCCCCTGCTCTGCTCCGTGATGGATTTCTACCCTGCCCGGTGCAGGTGAGGTGGTTCCAGGATGGGCAGGAGCTGCCGGAGCACGTGGTGGCCACCAACGTGGTCCCCAATGGGGACTGGACCTACCAGGTGCTGGTGATGCTGGAAATCCCCCCCCGGTGCGGGGTCACCTACACCTGCCAGGTGGAGCATGTCAGCCTGGAGCACCCCCTCAGCCGGCACTGGGGTACGGCCCGGCCCCCCCAGCATGGGGGGACACTGGCAGGGGGGCCAGGGATCTGGGGGAGCACTGGGGACACTGGTAGGCACTTTGGGGGGCAATGGAGAGGCTGAGGAGGAGGTTGAGGGGCCCTGGAAGGGCTGAGAGGGGCTTTGGGGAGTCGTGGGGGTGACTGGGAGGGAGTTTGGGGGAGCCTGGGAGGGATGGGAGGGAGGCTGGGGGAGGCTTGGAGTGACTGGGAGGGGGTTGGGGAAGTGCTGAGGTGGCTGGAAAGGGACTGGGAGGGGTTCTGGGCTGTCCTGGGGGTGATGGGAGGGGGATTGGAGGCTCCTAAAGGGGATGGGAGGGGCTTTGTGGGATCCTGGAGGGGCTGGGAAGGGACAGGCAGGAGGTTTCAGGGGGTGCTGGGTGGGCTGGCGGAGACCAGGATGGGGTTTTCGGGAGGTCCCAGGTGGTCTCTGAGAGGTTTTGGGGGTCCTGACCTCCCCCCCAGCTCCCCCCAGAGATGCCACAGGACACCGTCCGCAGCAAGATCCTGGTGGGGGTCGGGGGCTTTGTGTTGGGTTTTGTCTTCCTGGCGGTGGGGCTCGGCTTCTACCTGCAGGAGAAGGTAAAGGGGGGTCCCCGGGGGTCGTGTCCCCCCTTCCCCAGACCGTGTGTTCCCCCCTGCCCCCCAGCCTCTGTCACCCCCTTTTCTCTCCCCACAGGGCTCCTGAGCCAGCAGTGGCCGCAGCCTCTCCCCGTGGCCTTGGACCCAGCTGGGATCCCCCAATCCATCCCCACCTGGAATTTGGGGGGGTCGTGTGTCCCCCCCGGCCCTGCTTTTGCTTTCACAGCAGCCGCCTGCTCCCAGTGCTCCCAGTAAAGCTTCCCAGTTCTCTGCACTCCTGCTTATTGGGGGATATTGGGGGGGGCTCCGAAAATCCTGGGAACGGGGGGTTTGGGCAACGTCAGCCTCCAAAATCCCACGTATCCAGGGCACCACAAAGCCAAACTCCAGCAATCCGGAACCCCAAACCCACCTTGGATCCCCCAAGCCACGGGCAGAGTCAGCCCAAGCAGTAGCAGCCAATGGGAGCAATCGCAGCTGTTGCGTCCTTAGTTGCTGGGCAGACCCGGCCCAAACTGAGCCTTCACCGAGATCAGCCAATCAGAGAACGCTCTCCACTGGGTTTTGGGAACACGTCGAGCTCTGGGACAGCCGGATCGCCGTTTTCGGGATCAGGAAAGCTGCGGGACCCCTGGACGCCCATTTGTGGGTTGCCCTGAGCTCCTACCTGCCCCGCACCCCACGGATCCCCCAGAATCCCCCACCCCCCGGGGCTGCTGCATCCCCCAAAGGCCCTCAGCTAATCATAGAGCACCGACGCGGACTGTGGCTAATCAGAGCGCGCCTCGCTGATGACTCATCAGTTGCCGGGAGGATGCGATGCAAAACGGGCCCCAAGTTTGCGCTCAGCCAATCAGAGTGCGTCCAAAACAGCCCCAAAACGGCCCCGCCCGGCTGGTCTTGCGGTGTCAGCACCTGCCCGGCGCTGGTGATGGAACGTGGGCTGGGAGCTGGGGCCGTACTGGTGGTACTGGTGGTGCTGGGAGCCCCCCCGGCTACGGACGAGGAGCTCTCGGGTGAGCGGGGGGGATGGGGGGAAAGGGGAGAGAAAAGAGGGGGTGGGAACCCCAAAAGTGAGTGCAAGGGAGGTTGGAACGCCAGGAATTAGTGGGAGGGGGGTGGGAGCCCCAAAGTGAGCAACGTGGGGGTCTGGGGATTGGGGGGACAGTGGGAAAGGGGTGGGAGAGGGGGAAAAGAGGGGTGGGAGAGCAGGAAGAAGGGTGCAATGGGGGTCCCTCGGTGTCCCCCATCACTAAAGCCCTGCAGCGGTTCCCTGGGGCTGTGGGGTAGGGTCAGATTTGCACTGGAGGAGTCCCCAACCCCCCTGTCCATCCCCAGGGGCTAATGGGGGGGTTCCCCCCCAGCCAAGAGCCGGTGCTGTGGTGGCCGTGGGGCAGACGGGGGGTGGGAAAGCGGGTCTGGGATGGCCCTCTGTGCTCCCAACCTGCTGTGCGGGGATAGAGGATGATGGGGGGAGTGGGGACGGGGTACCTCCTGACCCATGTCCTGCACACACAGGGGTGTTCCAGTTTCTAGCAAAGTCTGAGTGTCACTTCATCAACGGCACGGAGCGGGTGAGGTTCGTGCGGAGGCTTTTCTACAACCGGCAGCAGTTCTCCCACTTCGACAGCGATGTGGGGGTCTATGTGGGGGACACCCCGTTTGGAGAGGAGGTGGCCTGGTACTGCAACAGCCGACAGGAATGGATGGAGTACCAACGGGCTGAGGTGGACAGGGTCTGCCGGCACAACTACAAGGTGTCCACCCCGTTCCTTGTGAACCGCAGAGGTGAGTGCGGGGCAGAGCGGGTCCCCTCGGGAATTCCCCTGCCCCGGGAACGACCTTGGAGCCTCTGAAACCCTCCCTGGGAATCACCCCAGACCCCTCAGCCCTCCCTGTGCCCGTCCTCGTGGCCTTGTGCCCCCTCCCATTGCCCCCGAATCCATCCCAGTCTCCTATTGCCCCTTATTCCGTTGCTATCCATTCTAGTTTCTCCCAGTGATCCCCAGTCTATCCCAGTCTCTCCCAGTGCCCCCCCGCCACATCTCCGCCTCGCTACGGCACCGCTCTCCCTCCCCTCAGCCAATCAGAGCGCGTCTCTGATGACTCATCAGTTGCCGGGCAGACCCGAGCGCAGAGTTCCTTCTCCAGGACTCAGCCTCCCAGTCCCGCTCGGGCCCTTCCCAGTCCATCCCAGTCCTTCCCAGTCCCTCCCAATCATTCCCATTACCTCTCACTCCACACCCAGACCGTCTCATTCCATTCCCAGTGGTTCTGAGTTCCTTCCCACATCTCCCAACTCTCTCCCCAGTGATCCTCCTGGCCCTTCCCCTTCTACACCAGTCCATTCCCAGTCCCTCCCACTGCCATCCCAGTCCCTTCCACTGCCATCCCAGTCCCTCCCAGTGCCATCCAAACGCCTACCCATGTCCTACAAGCCCTCTACCCTCTCTCCCCAGTGCCCCCCAGCGCCCCCCAGCTCAGCCCAGTGTCTCCCCCGTCTCTCCCAGTGCCCCCCAGCGTGTCCATCTCACTGGTGCCGTTGAGCTCTCAGCCCGGCCCCGGCCGCCTGCTCTGCTCCGTGATGGATTTCTACCCTGCCCGGTGCAGGTGAGGTGGTTCCAGGATGGGCAGGAGCTGCCAGAGCACGTGGTGGCCACCGACGTGGTCCCCAACGGGGACTGGACCTACCAGGTGCTGGTGATGCTGGAAATCCCCCCCCGGCGCGGGGTCACCTACACCTGCCAGGTGGAGCATGTCAGCCTGGAGCACCCCCTCAGCCGGCACTGGGGTACGGCCCGCCCCCCCCAGCACCGGCCCAGGGATGGATCGGGAATGTGTCCCTCACGTGTCACCTCATTCTGAGGGAACCTGCACTCCAACGGGGCACCCAATGCACCTCAAGAGGTACCGAGACTCCCCTAAACCCTGTAAAAGTGGTGGTGGGAGTGGAGTGGGACCACCCAAAAGTGGACGGGAGTGCGGAGCGACTGAAGAATGGCGGATGATGGGAAAGGGGTGGGAGTGGTCAGAAGGGTGGGGGAAAGGAAGATGTGCAAACACACTCCTTTTTTTCCCCTTTCCCTCCGTCTCCCCCTTCCCGCATCTGGGGGGGCTCCCAGCGCCACCAGTACCACCAGTACGGCCCCAGCTCCCCACACACGCTCCATCCTCAGCGCCAGGCAGGTGCTGACACCCCAAAAACAGCCGGACAAAGCCGTTTGTGGTCTGTTTTGGGCGCGCTCTGATTGACTGAGAGTAAACTTGGGAGCTCGTTTAGCGCCGTAACATTCTGGCAACCGATGAGTCATCAGCGAGGCGCACTCTGATTGGCTAAAGGATGTTCAGGGCGCTGCAGCCCCGGGGGTGGGGGGTTTTGGGGGGTCTGTGGGGTGCGGGGCAGGTGGGAGCTCAGGGCAACCCACAAATAGGCATCCAGGGGTTCCACAGCTCTGCTGAACCCAAAAACAGCCATCCGGCTGTCCCGGAGCTCCGACGGGCCCCCAAAACCGAGTGGAGCGCGTTCTCTGGTTGGCTGATCTCGGTGAGGGCTCAGTTTTGGCCGGGTCTGCCCAACAACTGATGACGCGCCAGCTGCGCTCGCTCCCATTGGCTGCTACTGCTTGGGCTGACTCTGCCAGCGGCTTGGGGGGTCCAAGGTGGGTTTTGGGGGGTCCCGAATTGCTGGAGTTTGGCTTTGTGGTGCCCTGGATACGTGGGATTTTGGGGGGCTGACGTTGCCCAAACCCCCCTTGTTTGCAGGATTTTCGGAGCCCCCCTCCAATATCCCCCAACAATCAGACGTACAGAGAACTGGGAGCACTGGGAACAGCAGGAAGTTGGTGTGAGAGCAAAAGCAGGGCCAGAGGGGACACACGAACCCCTTAAACTGCAGGCGGGGATGGACTGGGGGGGTCCCGGCTGGGCCCGAGGCCACGGGGAGGGGCTGCGGCCACTGCTGGTTCAGGAGCTCTGTGGGGAGAGAAAAAGAGGTGAGAGCAGGCTGGGGAGGGCAGGGGGGGCACACACGGTCTGAGGAAGGGGGGACACGACCCCCGGGGACCCCCCTTTACCTTCTCCTGCAGGTAGAAGCCGAGCCCCAGTGCCAGGAAGATGAAACCCAACACGAAGCCCCCGACCCCCACCAGGATCTTGCTGTGAACGGTGTCCTGTGGCATCTCTGGGGGGAGCCGGGGGGATCAGGACCCCCAAAACCTCCCAGAGGTCAGCCCCTCGGGGATCCCCCAGGCTCCTCCCATCCCATTTAGGACCCTCCAACCCCCCTCCCATCACCCCCGGTAGCCCCCTGAACCCCTCCCAGTCTCTTTTAAGCCCTCCCATCACCTCCCCAACCCCCTCCCAGTCACCCCAAACCCCCTCTCAGCCTCCCTCCCATCTCTCCCAGGTTCCCCGAAAATTCCCTCCCAGTCACCCCCAACAATCCCCACAGCCCCTCTCAGCCCTCCAAAGACCCCCCAAGCTCAGCCTCAGCCTCTCCATTGCCCCCTAAAGTGCCTTCCTGTGTCCCCAGTGCCCCTCCAGACCCCTGGCCCCCCTACCAGTGTCCCCCCGGTGCTGGGGGGGCCGGGCCGTACCCCAGTGCCGGCTGAGGGGGTGCTCCAGGCTGACGTGCTCCACCTGGCAGGTGTAGGTGACCCCGCGCCGGGGGGGGATTTCCAGCATCACCAGCACCTGGTAGGTCCAGTCCCCGTTGGGGACCACGTCGGTGGCCACCACGTGCTCCGGCAGCTCCTGCCCATCCTGGAACCACCTCACCTGCACCGGCGCAGGGTAGAAATCCATCACGGAGCAGAGCAGGCGGCCAGGGCCGGGCTGGGAGCTCGATGGCACCAGCGAGACGGACACGCTGGGGGGCACTGGGAGAGACGGGGGAGACACTGGGCTGAGCTGGGGTGCACTGGGAGAGAGGGTACAGGGCTTGTACGACATTGGAAGGGGTTTGGGTGGCACTGGGAGGGACTGGGAGAATGGGACTGGGTGAGGGTGGCAGTGGGGGAGAGTTGGGAGATGTGGGAGTGAACTGAGAAGGACTGGGAATGGATTTAGAGGGTCTGGGAGTGGAGTGAGAGGGACTGGGAATGACTAGGAGGGACTGGAACGCACTGGGATAAACTGGGAAGGACCCGAGCGGGACTGGGAGGCTGAGTCCTAGAGAGAGAACTCTGCGCTCCGGGTCTGCTCGGCAACTAATGAGTCATCCTATAGACGCACTCTGATTTGCTGAAGGCAGGGAGAGCGGTGGCAGCAGCGGGGTGGAGACGCGGGGGGCATTGGGAGAGACTGGGATGGACTAGGGACATTGGAAAGGAATGGGATGGATTGCAATGGAATGGGGGGCACTGGGAGAGACTGGGATGGACTCGGGGGTATAGGAAGAGGCTGGGATGGACTGGGGGGCACTGGGATGAGCACAGGGAGGGCTGAGGGGTCTGGGGTGATTCCCAGGGAGGGTTTTAGGGGCTCCAGGGTCGTTCCCGGGGCAGGGGAATTCCCAAAGGGACCCACTCTACCCCGTGCTCACCTCTGCGGTTCACAAGGAACGGGGTGAACACCTTGTAGTTGTGCCGGCAGAGCCTGTCCACCTCAGCCCGTTTGTACTCCAGCACGTCCTGTTGGCTGTTCCAGTGCCTGGCCTGGAACTCCCCATATCGGGTGTCCCCCACATAGATGCCCACATCGCTGTCGAAGTGGGCGTACTGCTGCCGGTTGTAGATGTACTTCTCCACGTACCTCACCTGCTCGGTGCCATTGATGAAGTAACACTCGATCTTTCCCATCTCCTGGAACACCCCTGTGTGTGCAGGACACGTCCCCCCATCATTCCCCAGGCCCCTACAGCAGGTTAGGAGCTCAGAGGGCCACCCCGGACCCCCCTTTCCCACCCCCTCTCTGCCCCACGGCCGCCACAGCACCGGCTCTTGGCTGGGGGGGAACCCCCCCCGATCAGCCCCCCGGGGATGGACAGCGGGTTGGGGACCCCCCAGTGTGGATCCGACCCCACCCCCAGAGCCCCAGGGAACCGCTGCAGGGTTCCAGTGATGGGGAACACCAAAGGACCCCCCATGGCACCCCTCTTCCTGCTCTCCCACCCCCTTTTCCCACCCCTTTCCCACCATCCCCCCAATCCCCAGACCCCCCCGTGCTCACTATGGGGCTCCCACCCCCTCCCACTAATTCCGGGGGTTCCAAACCCCCTCGCACTCACTTTTGGGGCTCCCACCCCCTCTTTTCTCTCTTCTTTTCCCTTTCCCACCCCCACCCCCCGCTCACCCGAGAGATCCTCGCCCGCAGCCGGGGGGGCTCCCAGCGCCACCAGTACCACCAGTACGGCCCCAGCTCCCCACACACGCTCCATCCTCAGCGCCGGGCAGGTGCTGACACCCCAAAACCAGCCGGGCGGGGCCGTTTTTGGGCTGTTTTGGGTGCGCTCTGATTGGCTGAGCGCAAACTTGGGCCCGTTTTGCGGCGCGTCCTCCAGACAACTGATGAGTCATCAGAGAGGCGCACTCTGATTGGCCACAGTCCGAGTCGGAGCTTTCTGATTGGCTAAAGGGTGTTCGGGGCGCTGCAGCCCCGGGGGTGGGGGGTTCTGGGGGGTCCGTGGGGTGCGGGGCAGGTGCGGGAGCTCAGGGCAACCCACAAATGGGCGTCCAGGGGTCCCGCATCTCTGCTCGACCCCAAAACTGCGATCCGACTGTCCCGGAGCTCCGACGGGCCCCCAAAACCGAGTGGAGGGCGTTCTCTGATTGGCTGAGCTCGGTGAAGGCTCAGATCTGCCAAGCAACTGATGACGCATCAGCTTCGCTCGTTCCCATTGGCTGCTGCTGCTGCTGCTGGCCCTGCCCTCGGCTTGAGGGGTCCAAGGTGGGTTTTGGGGTTTCCCGGATTCCTGCGATTTGGCTTTGTGGTGCCCTGGCTACATGGGATTTTAGGGGGGCTGAGTTGCCCAAACCCCCACTTTCCCAGGATTTTTGGAGCCACCCTCCACTGCCCCCAAGTGAGCAGGAGTGCAGAGAACTGGGAAGCTTTACTGGGAGCACTGGGAACAGCAGGCGGCTGGTAGGAGAACAAAAGCAGGGCCGGGGGGACACATGACCCCCCAGACTGCGGGTGGGGATGGACTGGGGGGTCCAGGCTGGGCCCGAGGCCACAGGGAGGGGCTGCGGCTGCCGCCGGCTCAGGAGCTCTGTGGGGAGAGAAAAGGGGGTGACAGCGGGCTGGGGGTCGGGGAAGACACCGGGATACACCCAGAGCTGGACTGGATCCAGCGGGATCAGAATTGAGGCAACTGGGATCATACTGGGAGCAGCTGGGCCCCTACTGGAGCCATACTGGGATCAGACTAGGATCATACTGAGAGCATCTGGTTCCATGCTTAGGATCCCACTGGGAGGAACTGGGAGCAATTGGGACCATGCTGGGCCCAACTGGGATCATCTTGGGAGCAACTGGGCCCACAGTGAAGGTGGCTGGGGTCATACTGGGAGTGACTGGGAGCATTCTGAGGGCAGTTGGGACCACGTTGGCACAACTGGGATATACTGTAGGTGACTGGGATCATACTGGGAGTGACTAGGACCACACTAGGGGATGACTGAGAGTGGCTGTGAGCAACTGGGATCATGCTGGAAGCTACTGGGAGCAACTGGGAGTGAGTGGGACCACACTGGGGGCAATGTGGGATATACTGGGAGAGACCAGGAGTGACTGGGAGCATACTGGGACTGACTGGGAGCAGGCTGAAGTCGACTGGGAGAGACTGGGAGTGACAGAGATCCTACTGGGAGGGACTGGAACTGTAGTGGGTGAGTGGGAGCAAGTGGGACCCTGCTGGGGTCAAATGGCTTTATACTGGGAGTGACAGGGAATGTCTGGGTTCATCCTGGCTGTGACTGCCACCATAGAGGGTGTCACTGGGATCCTACTGGAGTCATACTGGGAGGGACTGTAACTACAGTGGGATGACTGGGAGCAACTGGGACTGTGCAGGGAGTAACTTGGATCCTACTAAGAGAGACTGGGATCATACTGGGACTGACTTGGAGCATGTGGGAGGCAACTGGGATATACTGGGAATGGCTGGGAGTGACTGGGATCATTCTGGGAGTGACTAGAACCATAGTAGGGCTGAAGGGGAGCAACTGGAACCATGCTGGGGGCAACTGGGATCATAGTGGGAGCAGCTGGGCTCCCACGGGGGTCCTGTTGGGGTCTTACTGGGAGTGACTGCAATAATACTGGGAGTGTGTGGGAGGGACTGCAGCCATACTGGGGATGAGTGGGATCAAACTGGATTCGTACTGGAAGTGTTTGGAAGTTCCTGGGGTCATACTGGGGATGACTGGACTCATACCGGGATCATACTGGGATAAACTGGGAGCATGCAGGGGGCAAATGGCATCGTGAAGTGCCTGAATGTGCCTGGGGCCATCCTGGGCTCAGACTGGAAGTCCCTGAGAGGGAAAGGAACCATCCTGGGGGTGCTGGGAGCAACTGAGACCACCTTGGGGGCAACTTGGCTCCACTTGGGAGTGACTGGGAGTGACTGGGACCATAGTGGGAGTGACCAGCACCATACTGGAATCATAGTGGGAGTGACTGTAAGGCACCAGGATCAAACTGGGAGTGAGTGGAACTATGCAGGGGGGAACTGGGAGCCAGTGAGGCTGTGCTGGAAGCCAAGTGGGAACATACTTGGAGCAACTGGGATCATGCTGGAAGCAACTGGGAGTAACTGGGAGTGACAGGGTGCATGCTGGAGGCAACTGTCCTCTGGAAACTGGCATGAAGTGGGAGTGACTGGGATCACACTGATGGGAACTGGGACCATCCTGGGGCAAGTGGAAGTCACTGGGTGTCAGGGGTTTCTGTGGGTGGGTTTTGGTAGCTCCAGGGGTGGCTTCTGTTGGAAGCTGCCAGAAGCTTCCCCTGCCCCGTGGAGCCAATGCCAGCTGCTCCAGGACGGACTTGCTGCCTCTGGCCAAGGCCGAGCCCATCAGGAGCAACAGGAACAGCTCTGGGATAACAGATTTAGGGACAGAAGGAATTGCAGCCAGGGAAGAGCAGAGTGGGAATGTGGGAACAGCAATGCAGACCCCAAGGGCGGTGCAGAAGGAGGGGCAGGAGGTGCTCCAGGCACAAGAGCTGAGGCCCAGCAGCCCGTGGGGGAGCATCAGGGTGCAGAGACCCCCCTGCAGCCCCTGGAGGAGCCCATGCTGGAGCAGGGGGATGCAGAAAGAGGCTGTGACTCCAGGGCAGGCCCAGGATGGAGCAGGTCCTGGCAGGGACGTGCAGCCTGTGCAGAGGGAAGCCCAGGCTGGAGCAGGTTTTTCCCGGGCAGGACTCGTGGCCCCTTTGGGGGACCCATGCCGGGTCAGCTCATCCTTGAAGGACTGACCCCATGGAGGAGGGACCCACAGGACAGCAGGGTGGGAAGAGCTGCTGCCCGAGGGATGGACTCACTGGAGAGGTCCATCCAGGACTGTCTCCCGTGGGAGGGACCCCCACGGCAACAGGGGAAGACTCAGAACTGTGGCCCTGTTGTAGCTGTGGTGGAGACCAAAGTAACGGTGGTGTCCCCCTGCAGACTATGGAGGACCAAAGGGGTGCAGAGACCCCCTGCACCCCAGGAAAGAGTAACCCACAGGACAGGAGGTTGGGAAGAGATTCTACCCGAGGGATGGACTCAAACAACACCTGACTGCAACCCCCTTCCCCGTCCCCCTGCACTGCCGGGAGGGGGAGGAGGGAGAGCTGAGAAGGAAGGAGGGGTGGGGAGAAGGTGTTTTTATTTCTCACTCTTTGGCTTTTATCCTGTTAGGAATACAATTAAGTACTATCCCTACTTTGAGTCTGTTTTGCCCATTAGTGAGTAACTTTCCCCTGACCATTATGCCTACTCAGGAATCCTCAGGTTTTTTTGTTTCTCCTCTGTGGAGTTGCAGAGGGAGGGGGAGGTAGCAGCTTTAAGTGGGTGTTTGAAATCCAGACAGGGTCAGCCCACTACACCAACCCATGTGCTTGAGGTCCTTTTGTGATGTCACAGCCCATCCTCTCCATTCCGGAATAGCCCTTGGCAACCAAAGAACCAACACCCTACAACCCCAAAGTCAAGTCCCACCCGTGTACCATAGGCCCTTTTGTGATATCACATTCCTCTGCACTCCAGAATGGTCTCTGGCAACCAAAAAACCAACTCTGCACCCCAGAGTGCAGCCCAACCCATGTGCCATGGGCTCCATTGTGATTTCACACCTGTCCTCTCCATTCTAGAATAGCCCCTGGAAACCAAAGAACCAATGTCACAGAATGTCACAGGGCAGCCCCACCCATCTACCATGGGACTCTTTGTGAAGTCACGGCCTTTCCCCCAGGAAAGAAAGCCTGTAACCTTCGGGTTTCAGGTGCAGTTGGTGGGCCACCCTGGGCACTCCATGGGCAGCAAGAGCTTTCTGTCCTGGCACCTTTTGTCTGGCAGGAATCTTTGTCCAGATTCCAATTTGGCAATCGGACTGACAATTCCAGCGCGGTGCTCCTGCAAGAGAACGACAGCCCTGTCCTTCAGGAAAGAAACCCCTTACCCTCGGTCTCTGTTCCTCTTCCTTCAAATACAACCTACAGGGCAGCTTTCTGCCATCTCTTCTCTTGGGAATTGTGAAGATAGACCCGCTTCTATGTTTAACACCTCAGGAAAAACCACCCTGTTAACACCTTTCCCAACCTTCCCCATCCTTTCCAAAAGTGAGATGTGGAAAGAACAAGTGCCCTTGTCCCTGGCTGTGCTACTGTGCTGAGAGTCTCTTCCCTCCAGCTCTGCACACAGACACTGCCCTGCAGCTCCAGAGAAGGGCTGAAAAAGCATCTTCAACACAGAAATCAGGGCAGGTGTATCAGGGATTGTTGATATTTTTTGGTCTGTGTTTGGCCCAGCCACCTGCAAAAGTTTTTGTTCTTTACCTGCCAAGTTCACTGATAAACAGGAGCTTCGTCCTTGGAGAGAGAGTTCCTTGTATAAACTGTTTTAATTGGTGCTCTGTGATCGGCTGGTTGTCTGTAGGGGACATTTGAAGGAAAAACTGAACAGGAGAGGATGAAGCAAAGCCCCCAGACCCAAATAGATCAAACCCCTTGAGTGAAACAGCGCAAGTGCGAGGGGAATCCCCATGTTCTCCCGCATGGCTGAAGGGGTGCACTCACAGAACGGGGGAGGGATCGAGGGCCTCTGGCTGGGCGGTGCTGCCACACCGGCCCAGGGAGACGTTGTGGGGACGGAAGAACGACACAACGACCTCGGGATCAATAAGTGCGTTCGATTTATTGTCTATAAGCTGTCATTTTTATAAGGCACTTAATAAGCTCATACATATTGAAAAAGCCAA